ACGATGAATAGTAAACTCGTAAACTAGTATTCAATGGAGAGAAGAAAAAAAAATATTAGATACAGTGATCGAGAGAGGAATATTTAGATAGACATTCTTTCTCCTAAAAATGACGAGGTACGACGATCACATTATTCGTCGTGTCGATTATTTAGATCGAATTAATACAGGTATCAGATGTACGTGTACATAGGTGTATGGTAAAATTAGAGCACGCTATAGCGATCACCGTGAATCAGTTCAATGAATCAACGATACCAAAGAGACAGTCGATGAAATTTTCTTAATTGTACATTAGACGATTATGTGTGATTAAAGTGACATATTGATTATTTCTTGTGAATTTTTGTCTCTGATGTTCGTTTCCGTTGAATAACCTACGAATCTTGGGATCCTTAAGGATATTATATATGGGTTGGGTTCTTGTGGTTTATGCATTTCACGTTCGAAGTTCTTAGATGTGAGTAACGTTTGAAAAACACGTTGTGAAATTATAACACTCGATATTTATTTATTAAGAAATAGAAATAATTAAAATTGTTCGAATATTCGATTCGAATTTGAGGATGGTTCCATCATGGATTAGCAATAAAAATGATGCAATATAAATATTAAGGGAACGTGTATATAATGATTACCTAGTCAATTAGTCTCCGTAGCAAAACAAATGATGTAATCTAATACTCATCGATGTTTTGTAAATAAAACTAATAAAAGTTTATCCTTTATCTTACTCGTAAATATAACACTTGTCTGATTCAACTATTTTCTCAATAGTAATTTCTCATAAAAGTTCGAAGAGATTTAATTCGTTGTATTTTAAAAAAAGTATATATATATTTTTAGCACGAAACAGTATTGAGAAAGATTTGAACATGTTTTTGATGTTTCTCTATTTATAATAGCGAGATTCGAAAGGAAAAATTTGCATATCTTCTGTCTCTGAACTTCGAACTGTATATATAGGGTGGTGCAATAAAAATGAACTCTTCCAATATCTTATAAAGCTTCAATAACAATATAGAATTTATAGATGTTCAAATTAAAATTTCGTTCTTTTTCTTCGATTATATTGACATATACAGGGTGATATAAAAGAGATGAAACAATTTTTGAGCATACTTGTTGAAATAAATTAAAAAAAATATTTAATTTAATAACAAAAATGTAAATTAGAGAAACAATCTTTTTTCAATTTCCCAATTTCAATCAAAGTAAAATTTCTATTGATCATCATGATCCAAAAATTGTTCAATTCTTTTATCGTTCAACCCGTAAATATCATTATTCCACTTAACTTTCACGTTTTTCGCGTCTTCAATATACTTTCTCGAGGAAGGTGCTCGCGCATTTTTCACTTTAACATACAATTTCGAACGTGGCAGGAAATATAACGTGCGCGTCTCGGCGAAATCGCGCTGATTAAGCGCGCGAAAACGCGATGTCATTAACGTGGCGCTTATCTCAAATCGCATCAATTTACGAGATGAACCTCAACTTAGAGGTTTCACGCGAGAAAAACGTGAAACGTCTCGTTAGCATCCTCCCTCCTCGTGTTAATTATGCGAAGGCCGCGGCTTCGAAATTATAATATCCGCGACATTATTTCAACGGAGTGTACCACACCTCCGTTAATCGATGATTTTAATCGTAAAAAAAAAAAAAAAAAAAA